CCCCTGCGCCTCACTGTATATTCAAGCCCAGCCCTGTCTCTTATACACATCTAGATGTGTATAAGAGACAGGTGGTGCGCAGCTATAAAGCGTTGGTCCGGCCTCAACCCTTGCTCCCCAATTGTGAACCATACAGACCAGACCATGATCTGTAGTCCAAAATGGAGGCCGCAAGAAGGAAGCCTGTTGCCTGACGGGTATGGCTACCTGAAGAAGATAACTTACAAATGAAATCACAAAAGGTCAACGACCCTCTGAATTTCCACTGAGAGTAGCTTTGAAGTGCAGTTTTTTCAACAGTTTTTTAGTCCTATAAAGTCGATGAAGATCTGGATACTTTTTTCTGACATCGATGCAGAACTCGATAAAGTTTTCTGAAATAGCTCTTTCCATCTCATTAATGAAGTGAGATGTGTTGCGTAAAGTCCCTGGATCTTTCAGTTCTTGTAGTTGTGGGAATCCTTTGAAGTGGCAGTACTAATTAAAGGGATGTTTAGAAGTGGATTAAGTTCAATTAACTTAAAATCTTCAAAATGTTCAACACCTCCAAGACCGTTTAACAATTTCAGAAATTTCACCATTTCAAAATCTTCAAAATGTTCGTCACCTACAGCGGGGACCTATCATGACTGTTCAGCAGCTTTAGAAACTTCACCAGTTCAAAATCTCCAAAATATTTAACAAATTAACACCTATTTGCATGGGGACCCACCACGTTCAGTAAGTGCAGAAACTGTACCACTTCAAAATCTTTGAAACATTCAGTACCTAGTCGGCGTAGTCGCGCTGGTGTAGGATGGACTAATGTTTACTCTTGATGTACGTTGAATAGACCTGGTTATACTGTCAGTAGCCAATGACAATCTCTCTCTCTCTCTCTCTCTCTCTCTCTCTCTCTCTCTCTCTCTCTCTCTCTCTCTCTCTCTCTCTCTGTGTGTGTGTGTGTGTGTGTGTGTGCGTGTGTGCGTGTGTGTGTGTGTGTTTGTGTGTGTGTGTCTGTGCGTCCCGCCCACCCTATTTAAACGAAGGCTGTGTATGGTCATGGTATGTCCCTACCTGAGTATGTCATTAGCATTCTGTAGATTTTGAAGTGGTTAAGTTATTGAACGTTTGTGGTAGGTCCCCACGGGAGTAAGCGTTCAAAAATTTGAAGTTTTTGAAAATATTTACCTGTCCAAGTAGGTGTTGAAAATTTCAAACATTTTGAAGTGGTGACGTTTCAAAAGTTGTTGAACGCTCATGGTACGTACACGTCAGAGTAGGTGTTGAACATTTCAAATATTTTGAAGTGGTGAAGTTTCTAAAGTTGTTGAATGCTCGTGTAGGTCCCCGCCCGAGTAGGTGCTTAGTATTTTGAAGATTCCGAAGTGGGGAGGATCTGAAGTTGCTGAACAGGGATGGTAGGTCCGTTTGGGACTTGGAACTGGGACTGGGGACTGGGACTCGAGATTGGGACTTGGGAGGACTGAGAACCATGAATCCTTTCACTTTGATTTTCTAGTTTCGATTCAGCTCAATCATGTCCGGTTTTCTGTTAGATGTTGCAATCTGGTTCGTTGTTGTCGTTGCATGGTTCTTTGCATTGAAGTTCTGCTTTCTTCATTACGTGCTCATCATTTCCCTGAATTCTTTTCAAGTTAGTGCATGGAAGCAGGTCTTTCGAAAAGAATGGTATATCATCAATGAGTATTCTATTTTCTTGCTTTCTTTGTTAGGTGTAGTCTCTCTGAAATTCTCTAGTTGTGAGATCAGTTTGTAGTTGGAAGCAATTTGGAATGTGTAACCCTTGCCAATTTTTCATCGCCTGGCTTGTCTTCACTCGTTTTGCATATATTCCTCGTTGAACATGGAGATCCTTCATGAGAACGTAGTTCAGTTGGCATCCTTCGCTCTCAGTCTTGTTTTGTGAGTGTGGCACCCAATGCCGTGTAAGAAGATCTATGCCTTTTCCAGGATAGATTAGTAGCAGACCGATGCAACTTAGCTACATTTGTGATTGGTGGAGTAACAGACTTGTTCCACTGGGGGACCTGTTTTGTCCCAGAGGGGGGAAGGGCGTCGGCCGCTTGGTTAAGGTGGCTGTTTGGTCCACGGGATCTGCTTGGTCCATTTAGCCTGTTTGGTCGGTTAGTCTGTTTGCCATAGAGAAGAACAAGGCACTCTACGAAGTGAGCTATTTGCATGCATGTGTTGCCTGCTTTCTGTTCACAAAGAGCAATTCTGGATGGTCATAATAGGCGGGAACTCGAATAACAAAGGTGCTAATCTTGAGTTCTTTCATGTCGCAGTGAATAGTTTTGTAAAAATGGGGTGCATGCATGTCCACCATTCTCGATTGCAGGTTCCTTAACGACAACAAGTTAACCGGGGGGATTCCAGAAACGTTCGAACATCTGACCAATTTGAAGTCCTTGTGAGTATTTATGTTCGTAAGTCCTTCCTTCCTCCTTTCCACACATTCGCTTTCCCTGTGTCCTTTCATCTTGTTTCTTCTGCATCCTTCTTCTACTTTTCTTTTCCCTTTTCTTACTCCCCTCCTCCCCTCTTTCCCCTCTCCAGCTCTCTTTGTTCTCTTCTTCCCCAGTTTCCTTTCATCCTTCCGTCCTTTTCCTCACCGCCTTCCACTTTTCTGTATTTACTATTTTCCTTCCATCCTCCTCTTTGGTGTCTTCCTTCACAATTCCTTCCCTCCCAGTTTCTTCCTTGTTCCTTCATCCATTTCCTTCCGCTTCTTGCCCTCCCCGTCTCCCTGCCTCCCTCCCGCCCTCTCTCTCCCTCTCCTCTTCCCTGCCTTCCTCCTGCTCGTGCTCTCCCTCAGCCTTCCCTATTGCAAGGAAAATAAGCAACAGCGAGATGGCAATTCCAGATTACATCATCACATTGAAAGCCAGATAGGCACACTGTGTCCAGAGAGCAGCATTGCACCAATAATACACCAATGGAGGTTCGTAGTACTGAAAACCAATGTCAAGGAGAGCTTCTCTCTCCGCCACAACACAAGAGTCCAGTCCCTTCACACTCCTACTTGGCGCTCAGCGCCCAGCCTACTCCTACACAGCTACGATCAGCCTACTAGTAGACATTGCAACTGTTGACATCAGCGGCAACCCGAAGTACTTGAAGATGTCGCCCTTATGCAGACCATCGCCAATACAAGGTATGTGCCCTCACATCATCATCATCATCATCCTTCGCCCTTTCCTGGCTTTACACCCACGCATGTCCTCTCTTACACCCGAAGACCACCCCTGCGCCTCACTGTATATTCAAGCCCAGCCCGCTATGAAGGCTGGCTATGGCGCTGCCCTCAGCAGCGCCCTGCTTCAACACATGACCGCACGTGCGCAGCCTCTTGCTCCCATGCCAGCAGCCAGCCCGCGAGCTATCGCTCCAGCAGCGCTGCCGCCAGCCAGCAAGTGACCGAATGACGCTGCCAGGGGAGAGCTCTTTCCTTTATGGAAAGAGCTGGCCTGCTCGCGCATCCTGGCTGCACTGGCCTGGGCCCAGAAGCTTCCGGAAGGCCCCAGGATGCTGCCTTTGCTCTGCAGCTACTGGGCCTCGTTCGATTGGGCCTCCCAACTGTCAGTGTATGAGGCTGCGATTCACGCCCAGGGCCTGCGTTCTTTGGAAAGGCCCGACAGGCCGTGGAAATGTCTTTGTGGCTCGGCCTGTGTTTCTTTCAACCAACTGGCGTGTCGCAACTGCCTGGACCCCAAATATGAAATTGACAGTCAAAGGCCTCTTGTGATAAATTAGGCCCGCCTTCACTTAGGGCGGACACCACTGCAACCGGGGCCCTTAGGCCTGCCGAGGACCCAGATCCTCGCATTCCCTCCTCCTTTTCTTCGTTAGTCCTCTGAGAAGTCTCTTAATCTGCAGGCATCTTCCCTTTCAGTTCTCTTTCATAGCCTGCTATCACTTGTGGTGCTGTTCTCAGAAGTTCTTCTCGTGTGAACCAGCGATCTGCCTTGGGATCCAGATGATGTCTGAAGCTCACACGGTACTGCATTCTCGGTTTAGGAGGGCGCCTTCTCAGTTTAGGAGGGCGCCTTCTGCCTGATGGTCGAGGACAATAATCTGCAAACCCAAAAACCACAGCGTGGTCAAGACTTGAGGAGCTCGACCCGCTCACGAGAGAGGACTTCGCTTGGATGCCTCTACCCTCAACCAGAACCTAGCCAAGGCCGCACTGTAACGACTTGATGGCAAATCTAGGCTCCTACTTGCACGCTGCAATACCAGCTCCGTTGACGGACGACGGAGTAGCGGTTGTCGATCTTCGCTCTTATCTTGCGAAGATTGGCCGCGAGTATGCCACCCAAAGGTACGCCGAGACCGACAAAAGGCAACTTGCAGTGCCTTGATTGATTGCGGAGCATCTCGCAATTTCATGAGCCAAGCCTTTATGACCCGCGCGTTCGAAGGAAGACGCAACCTACGCAAGTTACACTCGCAGACAGCCGCACGCAAAAGTCAATCGACCGATGCATTGACGGCGTCCTGGTATACTTTGCGCCCCTTGCGTGCGAGCCGGTGTCTTTTGACATCCTCGACACCAAGTTTGACATGATTTTAGGCATGTCTTGGTTGCGCAGCGCCGATCATCCAGTGAACTTTCATGACCGAACCGTTCACGTCCGTGATCGGAATGGAGTGTTAGTCCCATGTACGGTTGCGACGCCTCACACTTCGATTGCTTGTCACGTGTGTTTCCGTTGCGAGGATTCGCGACGCCATAGCTCGGAATGACGTCGAGGAGATGGGCACTGTTTTCTTACACGCCCTCCCCTCGTCGGACGGACCAGCTGCGTCGCCGCCAGACCCACGTATTACCCACCTCTTAGACGGATATGGAGACGTCTTCGAGGCTCCCACCGGAATGGTTTCGGATCGGCCCATACGTCACGGGATTACTCTCGAGGCGGGCGTTGTCCCTCCGCGTGGATGCATTTACCGCATGAGCGAAGAGGAACTCGAGGTGCTTCGCGCACAACTCGATGACCTTCTCGACAAGGGTTGGATTTGCCCTAGTTGTTCGCCATACGGTGCACCAGTTCTCTTCGTCCGAAAGAAGAACAAGGACCTACGGTTGTGCATTGACTATCGAAAACTTAACGCACAAACCGTTAAGAATGCCGACCCTCTCCCTCGGATTGATGATGTCCTTGAGCGGTTGGGCGGCGCGACGTACTTCTCGAAGTTGGACTTGAAGTCGGGTTACCACCAGATTGAAATCCAGCCTCAAGATCGGTACAAGACCGCCTTCAAAACGTGGTATGGGCATTTTGAGTGGGTCGTGATGCCATTTGGACTCACCAATGCCCCGACAACTTTCCAAGCAGCCATGACAACGGAGTTCCGAGACTTGCTCGATTGTTCCGTCCTCATCTACCTCGATGATATCTTGGTCTATAGTAGGATGTTTGACGAGCACCTCGTACACCTTCGTGTGGTCTTGGATCGTTTGCGAGCCTAAGTACAAAGCAAACCGCGACAAGTGCGAATTCGCCAAGCAAGAGCTTGAGTACTTGGGTCATTATGTGACGCCGAAAGGCATTCGTCCCTTAGCGGACAAGATCTAAGCCATCGTGGATTGGCCGGAACCCCGTTGCACAACGGACGTACGCTCTTTCATGGGTTTGGCTGGATACTATCAGCGTTTCGTCGAGTCTTACTCCAAAGTGACAGCTCTTTTGTCGAGACTTCAATCCCCGAAGGTACCATTCGAGTTCGACGACGCAGCTCGTGGCGCGTTCAATACGTTGAAGGCGGCGATGCAAGACGCACCGGCCCTCCGTATCTATGATCCCACCCTATCCACCCAAGTGACTACGGATGCTTCCGGGTACGGTATTGGGGCCGTATTGGAACAATGCCACACGGATGGTTGGCATCCGGTCAAGTACTTCTCCCAAAAGTGTCTCCCATCAACACTCTCGACGATGCTAGGAAGAAAGAGTTACTCGTGTTTGTCACCGTTCTCAAACCAAGGCGCCACTTTCTTCTCGGTCATCGGCGTTTTAGATGGAACACGGATAACAATCCGTTGACCTCCTACAAAACGCAGGACACGGTCACTAGCACGATCGGTCGATGGATGTATTACATCGACCAATTCGACTTTTAGTCGTGCCACACTCCCGGTCCTGCCAATCGAGCAGCGGACGCCCTCTCACGACGGCCCGATCTTTGTGCCCTTGTGACCACGAGTTTGACCTCGACGACAATTTGCAGCAGCATTTTGTCAACGTCCGATCCGACGTACTCTACGCTTTATGCGGACCTATCATCGGATCACCCGTCGGCTGGTCATTATCGTATCTTCGACGTTTTCCTACTCCTTCACACGAGAGGGAAGGACTTGTTAGTGGTGCCCCAAGATCGCATCTTACGGACTCGTCTTCTCGGCGAATTCCATAACGCGCGACTTTCGGCACACCTTGGCGTGAACCGCACATTGGCTCGCCTTCGCCAGCGTTTTCACTGGCCCGACGTCCTTCACAACGTCACGAGGTACATTGAGTCATGCGCAGTTTGCCATCATAACAAAGGTCGATCTACGGTCCCTTATGGCGAACTAAAACCGATGCCGATTCCTCGGGCACCACGCCTCTCCATTGCTATGGATGTTACAGGCCCGTTCCCCCGCGATCGCCTCGGTCATGACGGCATTCTCACGGTCGTTGACCGTTTGATCAAGTACACTCGTTTTCTTCCATGCAAGTATCGCGCTACAGCTCCCGAGCTCGCCAGACTCTTGCACACCGGCTGGATTACATGCCATGGTGTTCCGGAAGATATTGTGAGCGACAGAGGCACTCACTTCATGTCTGCATTTTGGACTTCCCTCATGACGGAGTCCGGTTCGACTATGAAGCCGTGTTCCGCACGGCACCCGCAGACGGATGGACAGTCGGAACGAGCTCATCAAACCGCTCAAATGATGTGACGTACACTCATCCGTCCTGACCAGAAAGATTGGGTTGACCGGATTCCCGACATCGAGTTCGCCTATAACACTTTGGTGCACCCGGCGATCTGCATCACTCCACTCGAGTTGCATCACGGTGGAGAGAAAGCCCGAGTCGTTGCCGATCTTCTTCTACCACGGGCCGCCGACATAGACGTCGCTTGCTCTCCCGCTTCCGTTCGGAAGTATCGGGACTTGCTGATCAAAGCCCGCACAAACATGCAAAAGGCTCAAATCCACATGCAGCAGCAAGCTAACCGACGTCGACTCCCATGTCCTTTCCGCGAGGGAGACCTTGTTTGGGCGAGGAATTCGCGCTCGAGCAGGACGTCTCGTGCAAACTCCTCCCGAAATGGTTTGGACCATGGAAGGTAACTTCTCCAGCAGGCGACTACCCTGCAGGTCCTTCCTTTGTGATTGCCATCCCCCCACACCTCCGTGTGCACCCGGTCTTCCATGCGTCGAAGCTGGCCATCTACACGCCACCTTCCGAGGATGAGTTCCCGGGCCGACGATCACAAGACCCGCCCTCTATGGACGGACACCAGGAAGTTGACCGTGTCATCAGGCACCGCAAGTTTGGCAACAAGCGAATGCAGCACCAAGTCACTTTCAAGCAATGTGACCCTGACGACACTCGTTGGATCTCCCGCGCAGACTTACAGGCATCTGCACCACTCATCTTCTCCGACAACAAGAACCAGAGACTTGCCAAGGACAAAGTTCGTCCCTCCCGACCCACCCTGGTATCGAACAGACAACTTCGCCCTCGCAGGTAGCTCGGTCTTTTAAGGGGGGGAGTGTGTTACAGTCTGCGACTTCACACGGGCCTTCACAGGCCCGACACACCGTTTTTGGGGTACCCAGGCCGGCCTTGCCAAAGGCCAGGCCTTTTTCCTCCCGGTAGGCCCTATTAGGCCACCGGTTGGGCCTCAGCGTCAGCAGACCCAGGTCTGGCCCAAACGACAAACCGTTTGGGCCTGGCGGCGCTCTTGAGGCTGCGGCCCGCCGGTCTGGGCTGAACGGTCATTTCGCCGGTTCAGCCCACGGCGCAGGAGGCCAGCATTGAGGCCGACCGGCCGCCGGACGGTACTTAGGCCGGTCCAGCAGCCATTCCTGCAGGTGGGAACAAGGAGCAGCCAGGAGAACGCTGCGCTATTTGGTTGAGCACAGCGCCAGGGACTGCAGCGCTAGTTTAGCGCACTGCAGTCCAGGAGGAACGAGGAGGCGAGGAGGACTTACCTGTGACAGTGGAGCGCCATAGCTCCAGCGACCTGCATCTGGACTCCCACCGCCGCCAAGACGCCAGCTTGCACCTGCAGGTTTGGCCTGAGGCCCTCAACAGCTTCCCCTCTCCTCTCCTCTCCATCTCCATCTTCTTCTTCTTCAGACTTCTTCTTCTTCTTCTTCAGACTTCTTCTTCTTCTTCAGATTGGAGACTTGATACGAGTTGGACAGAGATCAGTGTTGGACTTCGGTGGTAAGAGGCTGTGATACTTACTGGATTCGAGACCTGGAGATTGTTGGGATTGATACTCGGCGACATCACAGATTGGACACCGGTCACATTAGAACTCTGTACCTCCGGCATTGGTGACTTGTTGTCCACGACATTTTGATCTTGTTCAATGACATTTTGGACTACCATATCGGTGACCTACTAGATTCTATCTCGGTGACATCTGGCGCTGCCTACATCTCCCACCTCCTTTCGTCTCTCCTCCCACCTTTCATCTGTGTATGGTTGTACGGGGCCTGAGCATCGTCTATGATTGGCTCAGACCCCACCATCTCATGATTGTTTGTGTGATGAGTGATATCTGTATGAGTTCAGTCTATGTGAGTCAGTCCATTTGTCAGACTTCCGCTGCATACATGCTCACTCTATATTGGTTGATCTTTGGTTCTGCTCATACTTGTTGAAGTATTCACTAGTATGCAACACCACCTGACAATGTCTTTCGCTTGGATCTGACAGGCCACAAGGGCCTGCACCATGGATCCAGAAGCAGGGCAAAGCCCCGGCTCCACCTCACGAAATAAGTAAAAATAACGTGAAAACTTAAAAGTAGTGGTGTTTCAAGCTCCCACTTATTCTACACCTTTAAGTCATTTCACAGAGTCGAACTAGTGTCAAGCTCAACAGGGTCTTCTTTCCCCATCGATTCTTCCAAGCCCGTTCCCTTGGCTGTGGTATGGCGAACAACCAAACTGCATGGAAAGACAAGGCGAGTAGGTGTGCAGGTATGCCCTCCACTCGGGCCTTCCAACCATAATGGGGAGGTGCGTTGTGTTAGTAAATGTTGTATTTCCCTTTGACGTGCCAGTGGAATAGGAACCGGACTGATGCTCCCCAGAATGGACATGGAGCCAGAACGGTAAGGTTCTGTTTTTTGTAAAAAAAGGTATGATGTTCTCTAACGAAACTGTGATCTGTTTGTTCTGCTCTTTCTGCTTTTTCTCTGAGGCATTGCAGCCATGTTGGCGGAAATAAACTTTCAGGACGTATTCCTTCATTTCTAGGCAAATTCAAAGACTTGAAGTTACTGTAAGTGGCTTTCGATGTGTACAATGGAATTTTCTATGCGTTTGAAAATAATTTATGCCATTCTTGAACCTTACCCCTGTTCCTGCTTCTCTGTCGTCATTATAGTAAGTTACCCAGAATAACCATACTCCTACCCTTCTTTCCCTGAACACGACACCCAGTCGTTATGACTTTTATCAATGGGCAACGCAGCTCATAAGTATCAATGATGACTAGGTGTCTCTTCGGGGGAAGAAGGTAGTATTGTTATGATCCTGACCATTTTGAAGTGCGATAACTCAGAGGAAGATAAACAGACGAAGGAAGAAGAAGAAGCAGATGAACACCCGCAAAGACCAATGTCAATCCCCCTTCAACTCGCCACCATCTCCAACCTCCTTTCACTCCCCAACTTCTTCTTTACAATAATAATAATAACAATAAATTAATGATAATAATAATAATAATAGCAATGAAAGAATGAACCAGAACCAATGTCTGAATCCTCTCCTTACTGTCAGCACTCGAGAGGTCACCATAGCCATCTCGTACACCTTCCTCCTTCCTAGTCAAGTAGGTGGCTATGGCGGAGTAACAGAGCACAGCTCTGATGTTTGAAGGACATGCAAAGCTCATGTATCCCTCCTACTATAGCCACCATGCCTTTCAGTACCCCGAAGTCTTCATTGTAGAAGCCAACCCCAACTGGGGCCTTCCAAGGGCGCTTCCTCATTTGCAGCTTCCTGAGTTGGGCGACATGCTGCTTGGGCGAGCGCTCGGCGCTACCACACCGAGCGCTCGCCCAAGCAGCATGTCGCCCAACTCAGGAAGCTGCAAATGAGGAAGCGCCCTTGGCTCTCCCCGAAGATATAACGGCCTACTGCCTCTTTGGGGTAACATTACGGGCAGCACAGCCTCTCAAGCTGCCGGTACCTTCCCCATTTCGGAGGGAAACATCAGTGCAGTCTGATATCCCCCACTGCAGGCCCTAGACTCGCCGGCGTACTGCCTCTTTGGGCGGTAAGGCCGCACAGCCTCCCAAGCTGCCATTTCAGAGGCAAACATCATTGCAGTCTAATATCCCTCACTGCAGGCCCCAGACTCAGACTATTGGACAAGTACCCCGAGGCCTCTTAAGGTATCGTCTTCTTCTGCCTACCTACCCGCTACTTGAGTCTTTTCCATCCTACGTGGGCCTGGCCTACTACCAAGTTCCTGCTGCAAGCACACAAAAGCACGACCACGGGAAGTACCAGGCTGAGGGCCTTTCCAGCACACAAGTACCCTGGTGGGTCACACGCACACCCAACTAATCATGCAATCAGACAAACACACGGAAACTCAGTACTAGTGCGCACACACACACACACACACATGCTGAAGACGAAGCTGGAGCTATGCCGTCGCAGGTAAGCCGACAGGTATGTCCCCAGGCCTCCGCCTCATCATCTACTCCTCCACAACCCGCTGCAGTGCACTGCAGCCCAAGTTAAAAGCTGATGTCGTCAACATGAGGAGCTCCCAGCGCTGAAGTCTACAGCCCAGCACGTGAACTACTCTACTTTCACAAATGAGGATGGCCCAGCTATATATACTGCTGGGCCTACTGCTGCGTAGCCCAAACTGGCGCCCAAACTGAAAGACTGGCGCCTAGACTGAAAACGAAAGGACTGGTGCCCCAACTGGAAACAGGGACTGGCGCCCATACTGAAGACTCGGCGGACTGGCTCCAGAACTGAACTGAAAACAGGAACTGGTGCCCAAACTGAAGAGCCTGCGCAGTGGTGCCAGAACTGCAATATGGCGCCTAGGAGAACTGCAATATGGCGCCCAGGAGGTTTGAGGTGTGCCTGGCCTAGCTGAAAGCCATCGGGCCTCTATCGACCCTCATATGCAGTCGGATACATGCGGACTAGAGGGAAAGGGACTGACTCTAGCTAATGGGAGACTGCTGAGGCTCGAAAAGGAGAACTAACGGAACCCTAACCTCTGGCTAACCCTCTAACCAACTACGGGCCCAAGGGGCGTGTGTGGTACATACCACAGTAACTCAGTCCGAGTCCCTGCAAAATGCATCATAGGCAGTTAATGCAAATAGTGCTTCTGTATATTCACACACACTGACCTTTGCAGTGAACGTTAGTGTTTGTTCGGAAACAGTATGGTGTGGTAGGCATTAACCACACGAGGTGCAGTCTTGAGAAGGTCTTTCCAAGATATCCAGCAGATCTTGTCTAACGGATCATAAAGAAAATGGAGTCAGTACTCTCTGTCATTCACCTCGCCCTCGTGTGCAACGATTCTGTGAATTTCATAACCGCCATGGATAGCATGAGGAATCATGGGATCACACGATCAGGAAAGGAAGCAGCAGCAGTATGGGGTACAACATAGAAGTGTGAAAGACTGGGTACGTGCACAGATGAGGTGGCTCGTCAATCACATAAGGATCAAAAGCGTCATCCCCCACTACTTTCAGAATCTGCCAAGGGGCGTAGTACGAGGGAAGAAGCTTACACGACACTCCCTGTTCATCTGAACATTCAGACATCTTTACCCAAACGTTATCCCCTTCTTTGAATGTCGCACGTCTGTGTCTCTTGTTCTAAAACTTGACCATGGCATTCTGGCGCTTGTTCATTGATGTAACAACAACTTTGAGGAAGTGCTGGTACTTGATGTCATAACCAGGCATGCTAGGAGTCAGACCAGGTGATCGATCAGGGAACAAGTAGGAGAGAGGGTTGCTGATCTGCCTTCAGTACTGCAGACTATTGGCCGGCATATTGGTGGTGGAGCCTTCACTGCATCTAGCTTTTCGCCCTACGTGTTCTGATCAAGAATTTGGTTGATCTCCACAACCTGTCCATCGGCTGCCAGATGACGACCAGATGACATGTTCAACTTAATTCGGTAGAGTTGAGTGGTGAAGTCCTTCCAATTTGAACTAATGCACCAGGTGTCCTGACCACTCAAGAGTTTTTTGGGGGGCCAAAGTGCAAGATATATTTCTGTTCACCTTCTTAGATGACCAGTGCAGTTGGTGCATGGGTTGGCAAAGGACTCAGGTTGAGAAATTGGGAGAAGCGGTTGATAATCAACATTGAATAAGAATTTTCCCTCTTACTTACCTTTCCCGTGTCCATGAAGTCAATAGAGACCGACTCACCTAGGCCGGAAGGGATGGGTAGTGGTTTCATAAAACCATTGGGTGGTTATCTATGGATCTTTGTCCGTTGAAACACGTCGCATTCTGCCACAAACTTCTGCATAGATCCCTTCCTGTCAGGCCAGTCAAATTGCTGCAATAATCTTCCATAATTTTTGGTGAAGCCAAAGTGTCCTTTCCGACCATGCGCCAAATCAAAAAAGTGAGTTTGGAAAGGCGTATGGTTGAGAACACTCCGACCGTGTCAGGTCAGTCAAATTGCTGCAATAGTCTTTCATAGTCTGTCAAACTTGTCACATCTGCAAAACTATAGACCTTCACACTCGTGGTAATCAGGCTGACTACTATGGTCAACCTTGAGCTCCTCAAGGATTGGACCGTAATCCGGATCTTTCGCAGTGTGCTCTACCAAATCCTCCTTCAATTTATGTTGGAGGTAGTAAGAACGTAAAAGGCGAGTCGTGTACTCAGGGTGGCAAGACAAAGCATCAGCAATGTGATTCTAACAACCCTTCTTATGTTTCATTTCAAAGTCAAAGATGTCAATCGCATGCAGTCAGCAGGGCACCGTCGTAGACAAGTTAGTTTGTGATTTGATCCACTGCAAGGTCTCATAATTTGAGAAGATCTTGAAGTGGCGTCCCAAAAAGTAGTGCTTCTTATGCTTTGGTGCCCCTCTCAAGGCAGAGTGCGCATGCATATATGTGGAGGTAGCTACCATGTTACTGGCATACATTTATTATAGTACTGGAGCAGATGCAAGCCATCACCATCATCTTGTTGCAGCACTGTGCCAATCCCATTTTGGCTCGCATCCATAATAACTTTGAATGTGAGTTCGGGAATTGCAATGCGAAGCACAAGATGACTCACCAAGAGTCTTTCAAGAATTGAAAAGAAGTCTCACATGCATCACTCCAAGTGTAAGATACATTCTTGCCTGTGTAGCACGGCGAACGTGTTCGCAACTTCGCGCCCCTCCGCGTTTACGCGAACGGCTCGAGAACGTGTTCGAGCGAACATAATTTTTTTTCAGTTAAAAATAAAAATAAAAAATTTTGTTTTTTATTTTTAACTCACATTTGGCTAAGAATTTGAACACAACTCAAGGCAAACGTTGCTTGTATTGTGGTTTTACTGTTTTACATGACATATATGTTTTTCAAATTTTTTTTTTTTTTTTTTTTATTATTATTTTTTTTTTTTTTAACAGGTCCTTGTGGTCCTGGCTCCATATCCATTCTGGGGAGCGTCAGTCCGGTTCCTTTCCACCGGCAAGTCAAGAATGAAATACATGGTGAACACTCACACGCTTCCTTCCTTATGGCCGAAGGAACCCTGACCAGCATTGATTACTCCTTGTCAGGAGGATTGACTGTCAGCTTGCCCTACCTCTTTTCCTCTCAGAGTCTTTGCTGACTCTGCCAGATGCTACATATAAAGCAAGAAAAGGGGAGAGATGTCTAGGCTGTTGGGATTAAAATCTCAGTTGATTCATCAAAAAGACCCTGTCCTTGTGTTATGCCACTTCTTCCACACCAATCTGTTCTCCACCAATGTAGCGATCTTTCCCTGTAGAAGCCAGTCTCTTGTGAATTTGCGTCTCCTTGTGGCTGTCCTTTCAGGTCTGCCTTTCTTCGTCAAGGATATTTCTTGCCATCTGGATCGAATCTGTGTTTTTGCCATTTTTAGCAGCAAAACCCACATTTCCTCTCTAGGCACCTCTGTTTCTTCGATCGTCTTGGAGCATCTCCTCTTCCAGATTACCCACAGCGCCAGCTTTCTGAGAAGGTGGAACCACACTTCCTTGCCACCACTGAGATTGTTAGTGTCGTTAGATAGGATCAGGATG